CCCCCAAGGCCTGCAAAGCCTCATTTAATGGTTCGGTGTCAGATTCGAGCCTTTTTTTAGAGGGTTAAGCATACTGACAGTGAAGCAGCAGTGGGGGGCAGTGATCTATCCCATTGTTTCTGCCCGTCTTGCCCCACTGGGTGCTGGTTCTGGAGGTGTGTATTTCAGCCCAGTTGAATTTCTTGTAATGTGACGAACTCCCCTCCCACTGAGGCAGCTCCCCAGGAGGCCAGAGCTCAACTGGATACGATTTCTATTTGATGAGGCTTTGCAAGCTCCACTGCCCCTTCCTGCAGGGGATCTCTGTGTGCTAACAGAGCCCATCATTTGCGCTCTCATTTCAGTTAATTGATGTGATCTGGCTAATGTGTATGGGCCATTGCTATGACATAGAACCCATGGCATCTGGACTGCTAGATACAGTCTATCTCAAATAAGTTTTTGAAAAGTGGTTAATATAGCTTCAAAATGCTTCAGCTATATAATTACTGTATTACTGAGTCAGTCTTTATATTCTTAGTGTTGTAATGTTGAAACAGATATTTTTATTTGGTTTTTCATTTTTTCTATTGTTCCTCCCTCTGTTATTCTGCCATGTAAACAGGAAATACAAGCCTTTGCACATGCAGTCTATGACCTTCCCAGATCTGTACTACGCTGGTCGATTCAGTCCCTTTGAATGTCCTCCTCCTCCTCGGTTTGAAAAGAAGACAGAGATGGAGGAAACCAAAACAAGGTTTGTTCACATGTTGTTGGCTAACTGTTTGAATAATACTGATTAATATATATATATATTACAAACTGTTTGATTATTTTTCATTTTTGAATAAATGGTTGAAATGATAGTGGAAATAAATTGCACTCCATGAAGAAAGTGTTTTATTCTGTAAAAAATATTTTGAGGGTTCATAATATTTGTATTTTTCTTAATTAGGGTCAAGAAAGTTGAAAGTAGCATTCAAGAAAAATCCCAAAGTAAATCCCCACTTAGTTGTAACCCTTCACCTTGGCGACCACGCAAAAAGGACCCTTCTTACTGTGAATGCTGCCAACAATCATTCACAAATCTGGAAGAGGTAGGAATTTATTTTTTTAAAATTATTATTTAAAGCAAATAGAAGTTGGTTCCTTTGGGTGATTTTGTTCATTTTCATGGTGTGGGTTTTTGTTTTTGTTTTGTTTTTTTGTCCTTGAAGCATTTGCAGTCCAATCAGCACCGCACATTTGTGCTGGATCCTTTGAATTACAGCTTGGTGGATGAGCTTGTGGTTGATATGCTTCCAGAATTTGATCCCAATCCACCCCAGCAAGAAGAACTGAGCAGGTCAGCTTGGATTATGATATATTTTGATATAGATTTATTTATATATATATTTTTTTTTCTGTTTTCAACTGATTGTCTGTATCCTTCTCTAGACTTCCAACTCCTTTGCCTATCCATGATGTCTGTGAACTGGAGCCTCTTTCTGATGCCGAGACGGAGCATACTGTTCAGGCCCTGCGGAGACGAGGTTCATCATTAAATACTCACCTTTCCAGCCCTACCAGGGGTCCTCTTTCCTGTCCAGGCCCTGCCAGTCCATCACCAGGAGTTCAGTTTACCGTCCCAAATCCAGGCACTCAGCCCACTGGCGCTCAGCCTTTCAATCATGTGACAGACTGCCAGCTGCCTGATATGCATCCTCAGGCTTTGAGTCCAGTCATGCCTGTATTAAAACCTGAAGTAGAAGCCCAGGACTCAGTCAATCAACTGCCTGAAATTCAGCGTCTCTCTCCATGTCCCCTCTCTGACCCTTTCTCCCTGCCTCCAGTCCTCAGCCCCCAAGTCCCCTATTCCTACATTATAAATCCTCAAAGTCCTTACTCAGACCCCCCTGTCCTCAGTCCCCAACCATACATCACAGAGGAGCCTGTGGAAGGACAAACTGAGGATGGTGTGTTTACATTTGCCTCAGCATTCACAGATGTTCTCTCCACCCCACCACTTACCTCTGGGGCTGTGACCAATGCAGGAAGAGCAAAAACAGACAACGTTGTTGAGTTTGCTGGGCTTGTGTGTTCTAACAGAGATTTGGAGTGCACCACGCGATCTTCTGGTAGATCTCGTTCCCTTCCTCGTCAGTCAGAAATCGCAGTAAACTCCAAAAAGCGCAGTCGATCTGCCAGCCCTGAATGTAGCAACAGTAAAAGGATGAGGACAACAAAGACTGGTAACAGTGATAGCTGGACGGGACAAAATATTAAACCACCAAAACCACAAAGTGACAATACAGCAAAGAGTGAATGCGCGTTACTCTTGGACAAGCTCCGTTATGAAATCTCTCCGTCTTGTCTCAGTTCAACTGTCTCTTCAACATTTACTACTGTGGATATGTTTGGTTTAAAACAGACTTGTAGTACGTTTTGTTTTCCGAGTGCACAGAATTTAGCTCGATCCTCTGTCAAAATTGACCCGGTTGCCACTCAACCAGTCGACTTCCACACTAATAAATGTCACAGTGGGTTTTCTAGTCAAGAATCTCAGCGTTCAGTATCTCACTCTACCTCAATCTGTATCGAACCAGGCCTCATCCCAGACCTGGCAAAGCTCTCTCCATCATCCTCAGAGTCAGACTGGGACTGTGACCTGCTGTCACAGCTGGGCCCGACCTCAGCTACACCTCTGGCTTCCACTGAACAGAACTGTGAGCTTGACAAGGAACTACTCCACAGGCCGTGTCCCTGGATGCACGACACCAGCTACGAGTCACACCTGCATACTGTCCTTAAGCCATCAACCCCATCCGCCTCAATGTGTGGGGAAGAAAGGGACCCTTTTAGCAGGACTGTGGTACAGATTGTAGAGGTTCAGCACTGACAGCTATTTTCTTGACTTTTTTTGTGAAAGATGCGAAGCACAAACGCCCTTTGTACACTGAATAAATATTTAAAATTGGGGCTTAATTTCAGATTTAATTGTCTTCTGCATTACATGCTGATTAATTTATCCTGCATCTTCCCAAGAATTTGAATCCTGTTGATGATCATGTTCCTCTTGAACCCTCGTTGTGCATAGTCCCCTTAATAGTATTGTGTGTTGTGCTGACTGCAGTCGCTCAGGCAGCTCTGTTCGGGAACTCGTGGCGATACTGAGAATTTAATGAGGCCTTCCTGAAAGGGGGCATTATTCAATTACTGTAAGTGCTGCGTCTGGATCAGGTCCCACATATGCTGGTGTTGATGGTCAAACAGACGAGGCGTTCACAGGGTGGAGGACTGACGAACTGTGAGCCAAATCACCTGATTAATGTCAAAAAGCTCTTCCTGCATTTTGAGGGTGGGCCAGAGGACTGGCTTTGTCAAGGAGAAGCAAGTCAGGTTTATTAGATATACAGTATGAGGTCATCTACCAATAAATACCATTTTTGGACATCTTTGATATGATGAAATGGTCTATAAAGTCCAGAACTCACTGCTGCTTCTAAACATGAAAAAAAGGTCACAATGTGACAAAGGGAATGCAACATGATTTTTGCATATGGAAGTATGTCAGTTGTCTCTGGGAATGTGAATTGAAACCTTGTACAGTGTTTTTTTTTTTAATAAATGTTTTTATTCATAAATATCCCCCCCTCTGTGTGCTTTAAAAAGCTTCTTTTTTTTCCATGTGTGGTGAAGACTTTATAAATGCTGACTGTATGTCAAACTTAAATAAGTGATGGATGAAGCAAGGGCAGCAGCAAGTCGATGTGTCCCGTTTGGCTCATCAGACCAGCTGATATGAACAGTATTTGATATGTTCTCCTCATCCCAGTTTTCATTAATACTAACTGCCCAGTTTTCACCCAACCGATAAGTGAATCATATTATTGCGTATATATAATTCAAATATATTCATTTACATAATTCTTTCGGGATAATGGCTTTAATTCAATATTAATTATAAGAAAATTTATTTATTATTCTAATCGACAGGGCAAAGAAAATACACTTAGCTCATCTGCATTATAAATAATAAACCACTGTTTGAAGTGCATTAGATGGATGGCATGCATTTGAAGTCCTTAAAATAATGCCTGAATCTTGACGGTGATATCAGGTGTTTCCCTTCGGGCTCCCGGGCCCGAGTGCTGGATCCATTAGTGTGTGGGTGGTCCCGTCACGCCCCACGTGCCGCTTGTTTCCTCGCGCAGCCTCACTCAGTAACGAGGCCGGCAGACAGGTGTGTGAAGCCAAGCAGCTCAGGGCAACACGGACACACAAACACCATGTTACCCCAGCCTAGAGGAGGAGGAGCCCCTTCAAGGTGTTTGTAAGCGCCGCAGGCGGACAGGGAGTGAGAAATGCGGGCGTACAACGTGAAGGCACCAAGCTGCTGTGTTTGTTTTCACTGTCAACAACAACAACAAGAGTCCTGCTACAGCTCCGCTCACGGCTGGTGTCGGTTCATTTAACGGCGCTGCACGGAAGAAATCACTGGGACTATGTGAGCATCATGCTCGCGGTGAGATGCCTGCTGTTCGCTACAGTGTACGCACGGTACGCCGAGACAGGTAAGAGGTTCCCACGCTTCAAACACAGAGCCAAATACTCGCGATGTAATAAATAAGTAGGGACATCAAGAAGCTCACGGCCAGTTGTTGATTCTGGTAAGTAAAACTTATAAATGACCTTTTCGCCCCACCTGCGTGCGTGTCCTCTGCAGCTCTGAGAGAATGGGGGAGTCCGGAGGGAAGGCTGCCGCCCGCGGAGGAGGTCGTTCAGCCCAAGCGACTCCTGCAGCAGATCCACACCGAGGAAGAGCTCCTGCACAGCCGACTGGACACCCGGGTCAAGAACCACCCAGCCGGTGAGCAGGTGAGCTTTGCCTGCTTTTGTTACCGCCTTTTTTGTTGCTGTTTTTACACCTGTTGTCCAAACCATCAGAACTGAACACGTCATTTATCGTCATTAGATTTCCATAAATATTAGTTTCTACATTTTCCCCACATTGAGATCAGATTAAGACAAGAAAGACATCAAGAGTAGACCTTGTAGACACCCCCCCAACCAAAACAACCAAGATGTTTTCAAACACTGCCTTTAGTCAAACATCCAGCAGGAACAGTTTCATCAATGATGCAGAAAATCTTAAAAATATAGAGTAGAAAGCGTGTCTGTTAACTGCTCTTAGCAGACTGAAATTAAATTTTTCATATTTTTAGTTATAGTTTTGCTGATGTGGGTCATCTTCATGATATGTAACCAGGTTGTATTAATTTCAGATTAGTTTACTGTGTATAAAGCTGGACACTGACAGTGTAAACCAACCTTTGCTGTTTGCTACAGAGAAAAGATGGAAACTGTGTAATAAATCTGCTCTCTGTCAAGCTTGTTTTTCCCTCTATGCCTTCTCTCCTGAAGTCATCTGTCTGTCACATTTACACCATTCTTTAACACCCCCACCCCCCACACACACACCAGGGCATTAAAAAGGCAGATAAAACACATCCCACCCCCTCAACTTCAGCCTTTTGCTCCTTTCGGCCTCATCAGATGATATTTCACACCTCTACCTGTCCTCTTTTGTTGCCTTTGCTGTAAACGCTGTCAGTCAGCGGCTGTCAGGTCAGTGGATATGACATGGGTTTGACCTTGATGTGCCCCCTGTGGTCAGCGTGTTGTCTCATGATCTCTTTCTGCTGATACCAGAGGTGCCCTTAGACTTGAATTTAGATATGAGATGCAATCAGCAGGCTTACTTTACACTGTGCTAGCTGCTGATCGCTGCACAGTGATTGTTTTTTGTGATTATGCATCGTAAGGATTTAAAGTGGGCCTATTATTCCTGTATCCAGCTTCATATTTTCAGTCTTGGGCTCTACCAAAGTAGCTTTGCATGATTCTCAGTTCAAAATAATCTTTATTTAACTTATACCAGGCAGCTGTGCATCCCTTTAGTTCATCACCTGTCTGAATCGTGCAGGTGTAGCTCCACACTTTGAGCTGGTTGCCCTTCTCAAATAGAAGGTTTGAACTCCAGGTGGACGGGGCTGCTATGTTTAGACCCGTGTGAAGTCTGACCTTTAGTCTTTTACCTGTACACACATTGACGTGAGTATTTGAAGTATATACACAGCATAAAAAAACCAAAAACAAGGAAAAGCTTTGCAGACTCCCCTTAATGTTGCTGTAAAACTGTCCCCAGCTTTAAATTTGTAATTACGAACTGGAAAAAAGATTTTAGTCTGGGATTTCTCCCAGTTTAGAAAAACGTTAATGCTGGCGTTCAGATCAAATGGCCGGTTTAAAACTTACAATAGGGCGGTTTTCAATTGTGGGTACAAAATATAGCTACAATTGCTGTATGTTATTTCCTCTGCTTCCCTGTCTGCTATTGTGCTGCCAATAAAAGCCAAAAATAAGTCTTAAAAGTGCTGATCGCACTTGTGACCTGATGCTCTGAGTTTGACTTTGGACAATGTGGGCCTTCCTAATGAAAAACTCTTATTTGATCTGTGAGTCATAGCTATGAAATCCAGTGCTCATATCCAGTGAAAGTATGAGAATATTTTTAATGAGTAAAGCTCCACTTTAAGTAACAGTACACAGTCATTGTCAGTTCTAAGGTTTTGCGTATGAGGACATAATAAAACCAGTTTAGAAACACTAAGCCAAAATGGAGAAGCAGTGTGTGGAAAGACCAGGTGCACCCCAGGATTCAGTTGCTGTAGAATCACCTTTAGATGCAATAACTTAACTGACCTAACTTTACAATGGTAGGTCAGTCCATTGAAGTTCAGGCATTCATTTATGCACGGCTTTCCTAAGGTCATGCTTGAGGTCTGGATCTCTGTAACACCTTCAGTGTTGATCTCTTTCACCATTCTATTGTAGATTTGTTGCTGTGCTTGGGGTCATTGTCATTTGATGCAATTTCAGTCAAGTTTTAGCTGCCAGACCGATGGCCTCATATTTGACTCCAGAATATTTTTGGTATACGGAGGAGTTCACGGTCGACTCATTGCCTCATGTCCAAGCTCAAATCATCACCCCTCCACCACTGTGCTTGTGGTATGTGGTGTTAGTGTTGATATGCTGTGTTTGGTTTTTGTGCATTACGGCCAAACGTCTCCACTCTAGTCTAATGTTATGTTTTTTGTTTTGTTTTTCTCAGTTCATCTGAGGTTGTAGTTACTGAATTTTTAGACCTGCTAAGTTATTTTTGTAACTGTGGGTAAAAAAACTGTGGGTCCATTTGTATCTGTGGACAACAATGTAACGTGTGAAACTAAACTGTAGTGTGGCCTGAATTATGATCAAAATTTAAATAAGAAAAATATAATAGTGAGAGTGCTAATGGAGCATTTGTATTGCTGCTCACAAGCCCCGTTGTGGTCTTTTATTGTATGGTATATGGACCCAGTGGAGGTTTAGATTGATACTAAGTGGTTTGCTGAGAGTGCAGGGTATTACTAATGAGACCTGCCTTGCTGCTGGCCAGTGAGCACTGACGGGAGCTACTACAGAACTCTCTTTTAATATGGATTGGGCTCACCTTGGAGCAAGGTTAGACGGAGACAGTGAGCCCTCAGCACAGAATTTTATCCAAACGCCGCTGGGTGGATAAGATGTCTCCTCTGGGAAAACATTCGTAAAAAAGGATATTTGTATTGTAATTTTGCTGCTTATATTTCCTCTGCCACCTATAGCTGCTGCAAATCCGCTCTACTTATAAGGATAATCCTTTTATTGTAAGCAAGTTTTAGTCTCTATCCAGGGTCTATAAGGTATCATCTTTCGTTTGAAGTGTAAAACCCTCCGAGGTGAATTTGTGAAACAGCAAAAAGTGTCTGCGTTAGATTTTGACCATATTTTTAAAGTTAAAAAGAAGAAAAATGCCCATACTGCACACTAAATTTGACATCAGCACACGTTACTAAAAGATCAGCAAATGTAGAGGTCAGCTAATTAGTTGGTCGGATCAGATCCAATATTCATCCAATTCTCCTAATTGGGTAGAATAATGTGCACATGTGCTACACTGGCTCAGATGCTGCCACCGCTCTGCGGTGTTGAGAACGTTCCCTCATCCAAAGGAGTACATTTGTGACTCGAGAGGCTCTCCTGAACGAGCAGAATTATGTTTATGAGAGCAATTAGATCTTTAAGATCTTAGCAAC